CCCCAAAACCCCAAAACCCCAAAACCCCAAAACCCCAAAACCCCAAAACCCCTTGTTTTTATAAAAATATTGATAAATTATGGATAATAAAGGTAAGAATTTAATAACTGTTGGCTTGCTTGATAGCAAGAAGTTAGCATTTCTATTAGAGATTTTGATGTTTAAATGGCTTTTTAGAGTCACAGAAGCAGGATTATAGCCTTTCTAATAAAAGATGCCCAATTTGTACTTTGAAACCACCCTGAAAGCATTATGAAAGTCCTGATCATATTCATACTAAGAAACAAAGCGTGAACATTTAAGTGTAAGTTGAATTAATTATATTGCAAATATGGAGCATTTAGCTCTTATTTAGCACATTTTTAAATAATTGGTAATGAATAAATCCACACTTTGGATAAAAGAAATGAGAATTTATCCTCAAAGTGCCGTTTTCTCATTTGCTTATCAATTTTTATTAGCTAATTGTAAAGAGTGCAAAGCTATTTATATAGGAGAAGAAACCACTAATACTCCCCTAATCCGATCATTTATCCAAGGTAAGATATCTAAAGGACATTTGAATGACCCATAACTTGAAATTAAAACTAATGCTTATAAATAACCCCTCGCTCTTAGCTGAGAATGATGAATCTTTCCAAATTTCTAACTCTCAAAGAAGGAAAGGGATATCAAAAACCAAGAGAAAGAAGCAAAACAACTCGATAGCAGTTAGGAATTCTCATAATATATCTTTCGAAGACGAGAATCTAAGGAACTCCTTTAACGGAAAAGTTCGTGTAAGAACAGGTGCGAATCAGTGGAAAAGCATTGAGTCTAGTCCAAGGTACTTCCATTGTCTTAGTCTCATATCTCTAGAACAAAAGTGTTACAATCCAAGAGAAAACAAGTGATCAACCAGAAGATAATGAAGAAGATTCTTGACTTCAAAGCGATGAGGGTCCAGCAGGAACAAGAGCAGCTGCAGCAGCAAAGGCTTCTTGAAAAGGCAGAACGGAAGAAGTACAGGACTGAAGTCGAGAAGAGGATGAAACGTAACCAGAAGCTTAAATAAGCAACTACAAGAATGGGAGAAACAGAAGGAGGAGAAGGAAAAGAGGGTTTTAGAGACACTTAAGAAGCAAGAAGAGAGGAAACAAGCCCAGACTAAGAGAGCTCAGGAGCTTAGAGCAAGCCAATTGGAAAAATTGCAGGAGTATAGAGTCAGGAAGGACCAGAAGAGCCAGAGCCAGATTAATCCCAAGAAATATGAGAAAGAGAGGTTTTTGCAGGAGATATATTTGAAACAGCTTAGGTTAAAGCAAGAGTTGAAAAAGTTGAGGTAAAGATTTTTGATGTTTTAGAATAAATGTTTGAGATTTTCTAAGGCTATTCCAATTTTATTGTTTTAATTTTCCAATTGTAACATACCTAATCTCAAATAACATAATTTTTATTTTTAAAAATTAAGATCATTATCACCTCTCTAATAATAATTCTTTAATTTACTTTTTCTAGAAAAAGCCAGAAAGCAGGGATCCCACGCTACGATCTGAACACAAGTGAATTAATAAAACCTGTTAAAGCAAACAGCTCTAGGGATGATATTATTAAGGAAGAGCCTGAGAATTCAACTCATAAATCAAAGTCACCAAGAGGGCTTAATAAGTACTTAAGAAAGTACGGTCAAAACCATATTGGTAAGTGTTGGTATATTTCCTTAAAACTTAATAAAACCATTAATGCATGCTTCCTAATCCAGCGTTAATCCCTTGTATAGAGGCAGTATCTCATCTGAACACCACAGTGTCTGCTTTGGGTATTTATAATAATCCCTTGCCGGTTCTGAAGAGGTTTTATTCTTAATTCAATTCCAGTGCAAGTCCTAGGGGTTTTGGGGTTTTGGGGTTTTGGGGTTTTGGGG